CCAAATATTGATGAATGAACTTGTAGCACAGGGTAGGGCAGGGACAAGGAAATCTCACTGGAGAGTAGTGAGCCAAAAGGCAAGGTTGTCCATCTGGGCTAGACCCCACCTGCTGAAGCATGGTTTTGGGGAGACAAAAGCACATTATTGCTATTCAGACCACAACGCCTCTCAAAACAAAGAGGTATCGCACAATCCCATTCATAACACCAGAGCCTACTCCCTCTTCGCAAGTTGTGTGCACGTCCGTAACACTCCCAACTGCTGTACCGACGAGAGCAAGTGAACATAAGAAGAATGATCAGACCTACTTCCCTGATACCTTACCAAGTCTCTCTCTGTGTTTCAGACGAGGAGCAATTTCCCTGCCAATTGGAAGTAGTCAGACAAACCAGCAGGAAAAAGAAAACCCAAGGCAAAATATTTGGATACTATGAAACACTGCTGAGATTCCCACGGGACTAAACATCCATCCCCTTTGAAGAGACACCTGCAGGGGTCATCCTAAAGCCTTCATTTTGGCAGGCAGTTTAGAAAACACCAGCCTTTCATGGTTAAGGAGGACACAGAAAGTGACACTTCCCTATCTCTGTGATATGGAAATAGGTCTCATTCCTTGACTTTTATGCAAGGGATGGAGACAAAATGGGTATTAACAACAAAGCAGTACAGCTGGGGCAGAAGGGCAAGGATTTCACCAGCTACAGAATAAGGGGACAGAGAACAGCCACTTCCCACCCATTTGGTGACAGAGGTGAAACCTGAGCCAAGCCTATTGGGCACCACAGCTGCAAGGACCACCCGTCCTTTCTCCCTTGAGACAAATGAAAAGGAGAGAGAGGGAGAGTGAGTGCACATGCTGGGGCAGACAGGAGATTATTTTTGGAAAAACATTGAAAGCTTGAAAGGGAGGTAATTAGGCACCAAGTCAAAAGGCAAAGTTTGGATAAGGCAAAACAAACAGACAAATAAGAAACAGAAATTGCACCAGAAATGCATTTGCCACTGAGACCGGCTATCCCATTTTCTCAGCACACATCTGTCCATCTCACGCTGGCAGCAGATGAACGGAGCCCCGACTGAAAGGAAACTTGGCAAGATCGTGGGAGGTGCCTCCCCCAGGAGTGCTAATGGGATCACATGTATGTACAAGAGTCACCATGGGAAAGGGACTGTGTGTCATAGGGCGGTGCTTTCCGACTCTTCCTCCTCCTCTTCCAAATCACCTTTCCTTGTTACTGAATGTCTCTGGATATGTTCCAGTGGATCCCGGTGGAGTGCAGTATCAATCTCTATATGTATAGAAGGGATATCAAAGTGGACGAGATCTGCAATTGGGTACAGAAAAGCAGAGTTAAAAGGCTGCTGCAGGGGAATGTGCTAATGTATATGAGTGATATTGGGGAAAAAGGAGCTTGGGAGGCATTGCTTTTTTCTTAGCAGCAAATACGCTTCTAAGGGCTAGTACATTGTTAATGTCAGAGAACAGGGATGTCATAATAAAGTCTTGGTTTGTACCTTCCATCATTTTTGCATCCTCTTCTGAGTCTCTCCTGCATTAGGTATCACTGCCCAAGCAATTGCCACCTCTCTCTGATCCTTCTCGCCAGTGCCACATGCCAAGTGTCCATGCCCAGCAGCTAGTTTTCAAGCTGTATGGTCTAGCACTTTCTTTTGCCCCTTTTCAGTATTAGATCATTACTCATTTGAAACTTGCGGAGGCCCTGTCAATCATTTTTCATCACGGACAGAGCTGGAAAATGCTATTAAGCCATCACAGATGCTCCAATGACAGTGCAAGACTGGTCCCCACAGCATGCTTGCAATTGTTTTGTCTAATCTAGATATAAACATGTGCAGGGTAGGGTCTGGGACTTGTATGGTAGCTCTTGCACTAGGGAAGCTACTACCTCTTACCTATTGATGGATAATTCTTAAATCTCTTCTAAAATGCCCATATTCAGCCTCTTCTATATTTTTTAGGCCGGAGGCAATTGATAGTATTTGTGAACATAGAGTGTAATTCTTGCTACAGATGGGTCAAAACAAAAGCTCTGGAGCCAACCTTCTTGAACTTTGGAGTACCTCAGAAAATGGATCTCTTAAGTTCTGAATTCTGTTTGGCTCTGCAAAACCACACCCCAACCATGAAGGACCTGAAAAACTAAAGACAAAGCTCCTCCACCTACCTCTAACTCTTACACATCCCAGTTAGATGCGGTCTGCAAGGCCCTTGAGCTCTTTACTAGAGGTTCACAGAATGGCCTACTTAGAGAACCAAGCAATCAGTGGGAGGGGAACACGAGACAGAGAGAGAGACAAAGAGAAAGAGCAGTGAGGAGGCCTTGCTCCTGGCAGGAGGGTCTCCCTCCTTCAAAGTCCAGAGGAATCTGTGGCACGGGCCCTGTGTATGCAGAAAAGTAGAGGAATCAAGAAGACACCAACATTCAAACATCTACCCAAAAGAGTTCAGATTTTGCTGGTAAGGTTGTCCCTTGCCTGGCTCCTGGAAGGGGCACAGAGGTATTACTTGGACACTGACACTGGATGGTCAGCTGTTTGGGCTGGAGGTTAAGAACAGTGCAGAGTTAATGGGATCATGCTCTGGATGGTCTCTGGACTCTGCCGTAATACACAGTCATCATGGTGAAGATGATCAGACTCCCTCTTGCTCCACAAATGCAGAGCTGTGGAGAGGAGCTTGAGATAATACTCATCTCAAGATATTCAAGGTAATGCTTACTCTTGTAAGCATCTCCACCTCATAGGACAGGAACAAATGCTATGGCAGAGCGTCATGCCCCAGGCCATAGAACTGCGGTGAACCCGATAATAGAGTTTCCTTTTACTCTTATATTAATGTAATTTTTTTTTCCTATTGGAACTTTCTTCCTTGAACAGTGGGCCTTATGACTGTGACTAAGAGTGACACTGCTGGGCCTTTCTGCCGGATTACAGTTGATAAACACAGGAAGGATCCTAGGAAAAGCAGGAAGACGCTGGCCTCTAGCAGCAGGATAGGGGGTAGTGTCTAAAACTTCAAGCTTGGATCAGTAGATCAGGCCCAAGGGAGGAAGAAGGGGAGCAGGCATTTGCAGATCAATGGGTAGGAAGTCAGATGTTGGATTCCCATTAGCACTGGTACACAAGCTCCCTGCAGTATGACCACTGAAAACCTGCCCAATTCTGGGCAAAAGTTTAACACTGCTTCAGACCAACCTGTGGCAAGGGTCATGAGCTCCAGGCTTTGAGGGGGATCATGCAAGGGTCATAAATGTACTCCTAATGTGCAGGCACCTAATTAGTAGGGTCAGTTCTAGCTGCCTAATAATACAAATGCTCTAATTGCTATGCAAGGCGGGATTGCTTGTTTTCTAAGTAGCAGTCAGGGTCTTTTCTTAGGTCTTAGGGCAATGAGTGACATAGCACCTGAGCCTGTGGATGAAAGTGAGTGGGGGTGTGGTAGGCTGCACACATGGATGGCATGGGACCCCCTGTTCTAGGCATGTCTACAGCCTGCGGCACTGGGTTGGCCTCTGCACAGAGGCTAAATTGAGGAGTCATCAATGCAGCTTTCCAATCTAGTAAATTACTTTGCTGTACCTGAGGGTCTTCCAGGATATCCCTCTCTATATTTTACTCCTCAGTCCCCAGTCATGCACCTTATGTTGAATCAGTCTAATCCTCCAGCTGGAAGGAGTAGACTCTGTTCCTGTGCTTATAAAAAATGTTGCTGGAGAGACGCAAAGTGTTTCTGTCTGGCAGGTGAGGTTACTGCCTCATGGGCACCAGCACCTCCTCCCTGCCCAGGGGACAGCCTGCTCCCCACCTCAAAGGGCACTGAATATGGTTACACTTGCATTGTGTGGATTTCCATGCCCACTGACGGGGCGGTGGAGCGGGGGGGCTGTCTGGGGACTGATCTTCATGTCTGGGTCCCTGTGCTGAAGATGTTCTAGATGCTCTGAAGGCCTTCCACATGCAGCCTGGGGACACTTCCAAAGAATGGGATTGCACCTCCCCCTGGACAGTTATATTCCCAGGGGAGAAGACCCAAATGCTGTTTGTCCTTCCAAGAGGCAGAACCCAATTGCTGCTGTGGATGAGCGAGAGGAGGCTGACCCGAGTCCCAGTGCAGGTAGGATCGTTAACCCTTAGAAATGGAAAGAGTTTGCAGCCATGATTTTGCAGCCGTGGGGCTGGAGGGGGGCTCCAGGGCAGAAAACTCCCCTTTATCATCAGTTCTGCACTGCTCTCCTCTGCACCACTTTTTCTTATCAGAAATAGGGGACTATGGCTCATAGTGATGTAAACAGCCCCAGCAAAGGACTTCTAGTCACAGAGCCAGGACTTGACTCTATGCTGAAGGTGAGTCACCAAGGTGAATAGAAGGTGGGAGGCTTTTTATCTGTCCATATGTGGAAGGGGCTCCTTCAGTTATCTCAGTGTCTAATGGATGGAGTTACATTGAGTATGTGGTCAGAGAAAGATTAAAAGGAAGGCAAGGCTGATGCATGCGGAAGGTAAAAGAAACTGAAGCTGGGTTACCCAAGCTCCCGCCCTTCATGTCAGAGTCCTAAGCTGCAGCACAGTCCAGCCTTGGACTTAAAAGGATTAAAAGGGAACTGTATGGAAAGGCTTCAGCACAGACTGAGATACACTTGCTATGGACAATCCTCCAAAACCTGGAGCTTCAGCACCAGCTAGCCTAGGAGTGGGCAGCTTATGGCCTGCAGGCCAGATTCAGACCCCTGCTTTTGGATTTGGCTTGTGGAGCTGTGGCTTTGGTTGATTTTGGCAGGGGCAGCTCTGCCTGTGCTGTGCTGCACTCCCAAACCCACACTGCAGTCATGCACCCATGGCTACAAGGGAGTTGGCTATGTCTCAGTACCTTCCCACCTCAAACCCTAGCTGGGTCATTCTGGTCTCTTGCCAGAAAACATTGCTGACCCCTGGCCTCGCTGGTATGGAAAACAGAGACAGTTACTTTGCTACACAAGCCTGAGTACAAGGTTTTGCGCATTGGTAGCATGACTGGCAGATGCCACTGACAGTCTACAATGTCTCACCTGTACGGCTTGCTTCTGCAATGTCAATCCAAGGGGGAGGCACTGAACTGGAATCACATAATCTGCATCGGGTGCCAAAATACCTGGCTATGACTCTGTTAGGAATTATAGTTTGAGCAGTAGCCAGGACCCACACCTTTGACACTAAAACGTTGTTTTTCCCCAATACAAACAACTTAAATGAAGATTCCTGGTCCTCTTGCACCAGGCACCAAATCCTGTTTTCACTTGGACCGCTGCAACCCTGCTGACTTGCACCATGGAAAAGTTGCCTGAGCAACTCTTCCCAACAGGACTATCAGGCCATTCTAAACAATGTGAACAGCATAGTGGCCCTGCATTTTTACAGGCATGGTTTATTCCTTTTGAATCATAAAGGCACCATAACGAAGCTTATGTAATGTTGTGTGAACTGGATAAATGTGTTGGCAAATGGGGAGACCGAGTTACTGTCTCTCCCCCAGTACTATGCATGATATTATCATCTATGGCTTTAGGAGGGTTTTTTTAACAGCTGTTTTGGGGTTGTAGCTATATTTGAAAGGAGATGACTAGTAAATGGGATAGTGGGACTTTTTTCACTGGAGCCTAAAATTCTGCTCCAAAAAGCAGGAAGCTTCTGCTAAAAATATGAATAAGACTGTAGCATCCTCTTCTGTGCTGCCATAGCTAAACATTATGATGTGGCAATGCCAGGTATATCTAGATTAGAGGTTTTTTCTCCCATTTCAAAATAAATTACAAAATTATATTTTGCTCTGGATCAGTGATACTCAATGAGTGCACCACAAGATCCTTTTAAGGGTGCCACGGCACCTGGCCCCTGTGAAAAGTGTTTTCCTCCCCCATTCAGTGCCCTGTGCCTGCCCCAGCATCTCACAAACAAGTGATGCCCATGGCTGCTCTTCTGGGAACTCCCTATGCCCTATGGCAGCCCCTGTGCTGGCCACCCCCATGCTCCAAGCAGTGCACGCTGCCATGGGCTGGTGCGTGAACAGGCAGACATGGGCTGCAGAGACATGCTTTTCAGTTCAGCTTGTCTTCCTCCCTCCATCCTTCCCATGCTCCTCGGGCTGGCAGGTGGGGCCACAAGGGCAGGTGGCTCTGGTTACTAGTGTGCGAGACCCTGGAAGAACAGCCTCAGCAGCAGGTGCTGTGCTTGTCCTCACAGGTACAGACAAGGGTGAGGAGGGTGAAGACAGTGGAAATAGCAGGACATGGCAGCTAGGCCTTCACTTGGCACCAGCTAGATTGTAGCTTGGTGATTCTCAACCAGGATGCCACTAAATCCAGAAAAGTAATAGAGGCATGCCTTGAGGCTACAAAGGTTGAGAACCACTGGTCTAGATCCTCTACAAATATCTGTACTTTTCCATAGGTTGGCCTATAGGAAAGTCACAAATAAACCTGCCCTGAAATAAGCATTTCAGGAAAGACTGTACTAGTGTTTACAAATTAAAGTGCCTTAGCTCACTGGAATTAATTGGCAAATCAGTTAATTCATGCTGAAAAAGGGGTAAAACTCATCTAGACATACCTCAGGGTACATATCTAAGGACACACATTTTCCCAATTCTGATGCCATCCAACTCAAAATGTATCTGTCTGTGTGAACCACTGGAGAGGCCTATGAAATGCTGGTGCTGTGCATGTCACTGAAAACACAGTGCAGTGCTAGTGCTGCACTGTGTATACACACCTTGGCTGCTCAACCCAACAATCCCATATTGTGCGGCTGGCATAGAAGCTTCATTTATCACCTCTGACACAAGGCTTTCAAAGTTGTAGCATATTTGTATGATGCTATTCATTTCTTCATCAATGGACACTTCCAGAATACACACTAAAAGTGACCGCAGTAAATAAAGTGCTTTCTAAAGACTCCTTGGAAATACATCATCAACATCAACAGCAAATCAACACAATTGAGAGCAGCAATATCATGACATCCCTTCTGAAAACAATATATGAAATGGAAGAGGGAGAAGTTATTCATACAGGTAAGTTCTAAGCCATAGTGGGGAGGGAAGGGGAAGGTTAGGAGCTGGTCACTTCCATGGGTTGGAGGGGGATTATTTTTATTTGTTTCTATGTAAAAAGGGGACGGAAATAAAGGCCAGCGGGTCCAAAAAGCAAAAGAAACAAGTTTACTAATAATGTAATTATTGGTGAACTTGTGATACGGTCACAGTGTCAAGAAGCCATGCAAATCTGGTTCAGCGAGTCCCATGCAAAGGCCAGAGAGATGGAGTTAGTGGTGAATCTGACTCAACAGACAGCAGCTGGAGGTCAGTCCAGGGGTTAGCTTTTAAAGTGCCAGAGAGGGGAGGTTTGTATGGGAACTCCAGCTTACCCTGAAAATCCCCCTCACACCTATCCAATATTGCATCACTCGCCTCAAACAGCTGCAAGGACACAATAATAGGATTGGGAGAAAGAAAAAAAAACAGCAACAAGGAGTCAAGAACACAACAGAAACACTGTTCAGAGAATTGTGGCAGTCAAGTCATAAAAAGAACATAGTATACATTACAATACAAAGAGTCTTTCTCCAGAAACCTGCATGGAAAGAACTTGGTAGGTACTGTCCTTCGCTCTACACTCCTGAAGAGCTAGCGGATGCTTACACCATTTACCTGGCGAGTCCTTTAAACACAACCCTATTATACTATGACTCGACTGGCTGGGGAACCAGTGGCATTCTACAAATGAAGGAGTCGGTGGACATGAAAGAATAAAACCAAAATAATACCAGATATTTCATAAACTGGAAAGGATAGAAAAACCTGCTACACACCAATGGAAAGTCAGGATTCCCAGCTTTCAGTTGTATGTGGCATGAGTTTCTAGACCTTGTTGGTCACAAGGTGTACCTCAGACTGGTTAAAGGGATAACATTTATAAGATAAACCTTGATAAAATCAACTCCCTAGGATTCCCAGGCCAGTTTGCCTTCCCCATAGGTTATGCTCCTGTATCACATTTGCACTTGTCTGAAGATCTTAGGGGAAACCTCACGACTTTTTGCAAACTTGGGTGACATTCTCCTAGGCAGGATACAACAAAGGCACTTGAGGCTTTAAAATCTATGCTACTGGCTCCCTTGTACCAGTGAAGAAAATATCCAGACTAGTTTTGTAGGCCAAGTAGGACTGTACTTTTTAAAGCTAGCCAGCATCCCACCTGCTGCCATCCAGGGGCTGAGGACCAAGAGCCCAGGCTGTGCTGGGGGATCACCAGTGAAGCTTAAGTTTTGAGGTGGTCCTAGACACATCATGTAGTAGGTAAGAGCTATATTTTAATACACACTCATATTGCTAGTACAGGTTTTAGGCTCATTTTTTTTCCTGTCGACAATCATCCTTCTAAGGAAGCACATGGTGATGGAGGGACACAGAGAGATTGACTTGGGGAAAGAAAATCTTAAAGGTCTTGTAATCCAGCCCTGAAGTAGGGCCTCCTGGAGGAGGCTTCTACTGCCCTGCTATCACCAAATTTGGTTGCAACTTCTTTTCTACATCCTACTGTATCATGCACTCTGGCATCCCCATGTCTTCCTCCCAGTCCATGATACTGAACTCTGATATAACTGAGACTCACAAACCATCCACCTGGAAATTAAATCTAGTTCAGAGAATTTGCCTTATTCTTCCTCATCTCCTGCTTATCGATCTCATTAAAATTCTACTGCGTTAATGGCTCAGTTACCTGTGGACATGCTTTCCCCGGGGGACATGCCATCAAGCATGGAGTGCTCCATAGACTGAGGACTAGAGCCGGAGAGGTTTGCTGTGGGAGGCTGTGGAGGTGGCAGCGTGGGCCTCTGCCTTGGCTTAGGGGTAGGTCGAGATTTGGTTAAAGTGCTCGTCAGGGAAGGAGGAGAAGACAGGGAAGGCGCAGCAGCTGGGGACAGTTGGCCTGAGGCCAGAGAGTAGCCTTGTGGGTAATTCAGTCCATAGGGTGAAGGGGTGCTCGGTGGGGTGGGAGACAGGCTGACGGGGGATGGCTGTCCCGTGGACTGGTCGGACATACCGCCTGACTGGCCGTAGGGAACCTTGGGTGGGATTGGTGCCAGCTTCTTTGAAACTGTGGGAGACAGAGAGACAAAAGGTGGCAGTGAGCAAAGCTGAGTCTCAGAGGCTTCATTAGGCTTCTCAGCCCTTTTTATACTTGTTTTATGTTACAATGCCCGTCTCCAATCAGCTCAGCTGCAGTTCTCCAACACTGATACTAATCTGCACATACCTCCTTTCAATTATCACATGCCTGGGAAGCCAAGGCTAAAATCCTTGTCCTAGAATCCAGAGCTGTGACTGCAGCATGCGTCAGCGCCCCTGAACTAGCTTTAATCTTGCTATCACCGGCACAAAAAGCAGTGAAGGTACAGCAGCACAGATTTCAATGTGGGCTGCACAAACCCATCTGTGGCCATATGTATGTACTCAGTACCAGCTGCCCACGTCACCACAGTTTCACTGCTATCTTCACTGTGCTAATGAGGTTAAAGCCAGTTCAGATGTGCCTACAAGCACTGCAATCACACATCCCCACTGCAGTGCAAGCATGCTCCAAGTCTTTTGCAAATTCCACTAGGTGCCTATCTGCACCTTTAGACACCTAAATACCTGTACAAATCTGTCCCTTAGACATTAGAAAAATTTCCATATGGGCTAATAGTCAGTTTCCAAAGGTTTATAGGGATGGTTTGCATAAAAACACAATATTCAGATATGTCTTTGCTCCGTATCACAGCTATCCTAATATCTGTTCTCCAATTAAGTTGGAAATTTGATGAGAATCATCTTCTCGGTGCAAGGTCCAATAATTCTCACTTCTGGGTAAACTGGAAATATTCCCAACTTCTCAGCATCTCCTTGCATGACATCTTGAGCTCCAAGCAACAAAGGGCAAGCTTCCAAATATGAACACAGGGCAGGTGAGACCGGAACGTCTGTGTTTTTCTCAGACCTTTTGGGTTATTGGACCAAAAGGATCGTTTGGTTTATTGGATATTTGAACATTTTAGAAAAAGAAAATTGGTTTGGAATGAGAACAATAATTTTGACTGAACTGAAAATTTGGGGGGAAAATCCTCCTTTTAGTTTATCTGAATGTTTCATTTTGATTTCAAGTTCAAGCAAATTAAAGGAAATTTTGAAATGAGATCGAGGCCTACAAAAATGTAAATGTTCTTTTAAAACAATTTTTGAAACTCTTCACATTTTTCAGAATTTTATTTTTTTCCCCACAATTAAAAATTCTGAAAGATCAACTGATATGTGTTAAATTGTACTATAGAAAATCCCCTTTTTTCATGTGAAAAAAGTCTTATTCAATTTTTTTACCTAGTGCTATTCAGTGAGGAGGTTCCTTGAAATTAAGCCTGAAATGAGAGATCCCTGTAGCAGAGAATTTAACAAAACTATCAAAAGGAGACCCAGCGTCATTATAATATTATTGCTCTTCAATCTGGGCCAGATCTCCACTGTTGGATAGCAGTGTGGCCCTGTTGTCTTCAACAGAGCTATGCTGATCTACACCAGCTGAGGACCAGCTTGAAGCAACTTGTGACTATTTCTCATTTCACACAACCTATTACTTGCTTAGTACATTTTTAAAATCCTGCGAAGTACAAAGGTCAAGG